TAACTCGCATGGATTAACATTTCTTGGTGCATTTGCTGTTGCTTCTGATAGCCAATACAACATGCTACAGCACTGTATTAAACTAATTTCAGAAAATTGCTTCCCTTAGCTGTAGCAATTGAAAGAGAAAATCGATGAAGAGAATCGATCATCGCATGAGCCCTTATGCATGCTCGCTGTCGATTTCTTGGTGCATTTTCTGTTGCTTTTGATAGCCAATACAACCTGTTACGGCACTACATGGAACAAATTCCAGATAATATTCAAGCTGAACATTGCATTAAATCCTATGTAACATTGATCAATTCTCTTCGTCGACTTTCTCTTGGTACATAACCGTTTCTTGTTGTGTTTGTCGTAGTAGATGCTAGATAAAAGCTTCATTTATCGATCTGTATGCTGAAAATACCTGGGAATGTCTTTACATGGCCAAGGGGATACAAAAAGAAAGAAATGCAATCTTCTGCTTGAATTAATTCGCTTAGCTGTAGCAATGTAAAAAGAAAATCGATGAAGAGAATCGATCATTGTAAGTAGGCTCTTATGAACTCTCACTGTCAAATTTCAGTATCTAACACTGAAAAAACTCGACGGTACCTCTATTTATACTATTAGATAAGCCCTCCTACTTGGAGAATTATGCAATCGAACGACTTGCCTTCAACAGCGAAAAAACCGGGAATTTATAAACCGTTCTATAGCATAATAGCTAATCTAAAAGCATAAATAGATCTACCGTCTGATAATGTCAGTGCTTGTTACAGAAATCTTTAATCTGTTATAGGGAAATCCTTTTTTTTTTTTGCCGCAGAAACACCCCGTTTTCTTATGCAAAATAATGGATGTGCGTTCACAAAACGCACGAAATCTTTAAAAAAAAAACAATATTTAGCATTTGTTTAACATGATCAATTACGAAATTTCGCATAAATGTCCAATCCGTTTTTGTGTGCCTTTTATAGTATTCTGAAGAAGCCCTGCCTAAATATTAAAATAGGAACATGAATGTTGAGACATAGGGGAAATGTCTCTAATGTTGGCCTATGGATCTAAGATTGGGCCCATCGCTAAAAATCTGCTATTTATCAACTTTATCTAGATGAACGCGTTATTGGGACGTTACTAATGGATATTTTTGGTTGCTATTGAAAATTTAGTCGATTGCTGAATTTATGTATGGGCCCAAATTAGGTCGACATTACTTGCATTTCCCCTAGCACTGATTTTCACTGTTGCTTAATTTCTCAATAATCGCCAGGAAACATGCAAAAATAACGTAGCAGTTGAGGGAGGAGAGGGATTTCAGAAGTTGTGACCGGCCATATATTAGGTATAGCAAAACACGCTTCGAGGGGGGAGGGGGGTTATTTCTGACCGACTAGAAGTTAAATGTTGGCAACCGTGACTGAGTTCTGAACATTGAAAATAACTTTCATAATGCCACGTTTAACCACGAGTTAAATTTAAGTATCAGCGTTTGTAAAAACGTATTTGATCGTCGATTTGGCATAACTGGTAGCTCACCCACGCATGCTGACACTACCATCAGATAGGGGAAATTTTCCCCTACCCGATATAGTGATGTTAGTATGCGTGGGAGAGCTATCAGTAACGCCAAACTGACGATGAAAGGCGTTGTTTACAAAAGCTGATACGTTCCTTTCCAAAAATAATCGAGATTTGTAGAACGCAGGATCGTTATCATTCAGGCGAGGTTGATCCACTTCGGAGTGCTTGCGTGCGACGGGGTTCGCTGCCAGCAGCCAGTGATCGGGAACGACCCGCAAGGTTCGGGATGCATACTCGTGGTTGACAGGAACCGCAGCCTTCCTACTGCTGCTGCTACCTGCTCAACCGGCGTCCGAAGCGAAAATAAGTAGACGTCCACCAGCGCTGTTTTATAACATTTCAGATTGAATCAGAAAGATGTGTAATCAAGTGGTACTCGATTATGACGACTGGGTTTGGGGAGACCGTTTATTTCATGAAAACAGTGATTAAATCACCTACAATTATCACTTTTTATTTGTACATTTTTCAACTGTTTTTTTAATAGAAAATGGGAAATTTTTTATTGAATTTAGAGAGATATTTCCAATCGATTGGTATATTTGGATTTTAATTTCATCAATAAAGAACAAAGTTATAAGCGTTCAAAACCTTACACCTTTTCGTGACGTCAAAAATATTTTCGGCACGTTTTTATTTTGACGTAGGACTACGTCTTTGATTTCTATATGGGGGTACACTTTGTGAAAACCGAAAATGGAACATGTAACAAATTAAGAAAGATTTTGAACGTTAATAACTCAGATGCCCCTGGTCCAATTTCAATAATTTTATCACCAATCGATCAGAAATATGGCTACGCATCGATAACAATGCTTCCGAATGTTGATTTTCAACAAGTAACTATTGAAAAACTGGTAAATGACTGGTAATTGTCCAAAAGCGTCGAATTAACTAACAAATCCACCAATTACCTACATGCATATGCTGCTTCCCCAGCACAGTCGTCAGAGAGTAGTAAGTAGACGAAACAAGTCGAAGTGGCATTCGCCTCCAATCCTCGGGCGCGTGCAAATAGGGAGGATGGAATTGCGTAATATTTTGCACACTCATCGCCATATTCAGAACCAAACGCAAATTCTTCAAGATAACCACCATCCGTCGTCTGGCTCGCCATGGTGGTGTCTGACGTATCTCTGGTCTGATTAAAGAGGTGTGCTGAAAGTGTTCCTGAAAAATGAGATCCGTGATGCTGTCACCTACACTAAACACGCCAAGCGTAAGCAGCCATAGATGTCATCTACGTTTTGAAGACGCACTCTGTTTGGTTTCGGAGGTTAAGTTATCATCAACTTTAGCAGCAAAACGGCTCTTTTCAGGGCCATCAAGCTTATTACAGTAAAGAGTAGAAATAGAATTCATCTGCCTGTTTGTCCATATTCAGAACCAACGACCACACAAAATGCTCATGTAATCAAACTGGACGCAGTGGTACAAATTATTTTGATCAACCTTGATTCACTTTGAATCGCCACGGCCGGATATTTTCGATGGAAGAAGCAACAATCTAGCATCTAATTCGACGAAGACGGCAGGAAACATTTGTGAAGGCGAGTTATTTACGAAAGAGAGTGTCGATGAAGAGAATCGATCAATGTAGATAGGACCTATTGAAAAGTGAAGCGAGATTTGTTTTCCGTACTGAGCTCCAATGCTACCGACGCCAGGGAGGCAGCTCCCACACCTGGACCCAACATATCGACCCATCAACTCAACCGGGGACCAACGGCTTTACTTCCCGAAGGAAGGCGTGATCAGAGATGTTATGCCTTAGATTGGAGATTGGACCCAGGCCTGCTGTGGTGACAGGTAATCACGCTAACCACCGGCGCCGATATCTTTCAAGGTGATATCACGGCGAATGAGAACGACCCAAATTTGAGTTTAGTTATCTCAGATATAAGAAATAAAGTGCAGGAATTCAGCGATGAGTAAATTTGCCTCATGTTTTCCCAGGTTTTTTTAACGATTTTCCAGGGAAAAATTCCCGAATTTGAGAAAAGTAAAGATTGGATTCACTCAGTCTATTGGTACTACTCCGAGACTGAATAAAGTTTTCGTCAATTCCCTCATTTTCTGGCAGATTTTTTATGAAACCATGAGACAAATTTACTCATCGATGAGTTCCTGCACTTTTGGTAATAATGAGTGAACTAAACTCAAATTTAGGTCGTTCTCATTCGCCGTGTATGCAAAAAGAAAAAAGCCAGTGTCGCTACTTGATAGCAAACTACTCATAATGGGAGGAGTCTTTGTAGCTTTTATACAACTTGGTTGCACATCATTCTGCTTTAACCTGAAAAGATATAAAAGAGCGCTGCTGTGTGGAATTAGCTCATTTTCGCTTCGGATGGCGTGGTGAACAGTAATGCGCCAAGCGTCATCGCAAAGTTCTTCGAGATAACCGCCATCGGTCGTCTGGCTCGCCGTGGTGGTATCAAACGTATCTCCGATCTGATCTACGAGGTGTACTGAAGGTGTTCCTGGAAAATGAGGTCCGTGATGCTGTCACCTACACTAAACACGCCAAGCGTAAGTGGCCATGGATGTCCTCTTCAATAAAACGGCCCTTTTCAGGGCCATCAAGCTTACATCAGTTAAGAGGTGGAATAGAATTTATCTGAGCTTGTTTGTCCAGAATCACAACCCCCAACGACTACACAAAATGCTCTCGGGAGTTGTAATCTTGTAACCAAATTTGGAATCAGGCGTGCAGTGCAAGTGATTTTGATTGATTCTCTTAATCTTAAATTTCTATTTGAAAAAGATTACTACAAATTTGGTACGCCTACAATTCAAAAACGGAAAGAGTTGAGATAATAGATAATTGATCAATTAAAAGAACGAAATGCTCTTCACATTTGTTCCGTCCACTTGCGGTCCTACGTCAAGCTTCCGTTCGTGCCCCTAGGCACAGACCCTTCTACTTTTTTGGAGAAATATGTATTGCGAATCAAATTTGTTGCACAAAATGTACGCAAAACACAATAAAATTAACATAAACCGTGTAAGTTTCCTTAACCGCACGGTAACATACCAAGTCACGCTGGCTACTGTAGCTGCCTTGAACCCATATCATGTTCGCATAATATGTATATACACTCAATAAAGTTATATCGCACGTGCGATTTGAACTGATACACATAATTTGCTGTTTTCAATGTTTACCTCAGGCTGTCGTGAACGACGAATGATGTTTGAACTCTCTGAAAATGAATGAGTGATAATAAATTAGATGATGCAAACATGGGTAGTGCAATCACTCTGATATTAGGTATATAGATTCTAAGCCCGTGAAATATTTTGTAGAATGGATGAGATGTACATTTGCATTCGAAATTCTAACAAAATCGTAGGTTAATCAGCTAAAGTATTTCATAAATCTCTGGTAGTTACAAATCACTCTACAGCTGCTGTTGGATTCAACTTACCCCAAGAAATATTTTCACTCTTACTGCGTAGCTCGGTAGATTGAGGCAAACAAAAACGGTGGAAACTATCAGTAACATTTTAGTTACCTTTATCTGTGAATTTGCTACACGACCTCTACCTGAAAATACGAAATACACAAAACATTTGAACATTTTCTTGATGGCATCATTTATATTACACCCACGCATACTAATTTTCCTCCATTCAGCGGAAAGAACCACACAAAAAGGCATATAATGGCCCAATCATTCACGTCTAATCAACGGAAATCCACCATCACATCAAAAACCGGTTGCCACAAACCAACTTACTGTAGTGATGGACTTGCTGAACAGCAAGGCTCCCATTCAGAATCTGTGAATTCGAGCAAGAAGGGTTGAGCTGGTGCTGAAGCTGGTGACGCCGAGACTCTCGTATTCCACCAAAACTGTAGGGGGGAAATATGGATGGTAGCGTTCATAAATAGCTTATCGATAAATATATGGACATCGACAAAACAAGCAACGATAGACGTTTATAAATCATGAACGCTGATTTGCCCACGGAAATGAGGATGTGCTGTTCTTTCAACTAAGCTGCTTACCTTCGTGGCATCGTCATCGTTCGCCGTACGCCGGCAAATTTCCACACGGTTAATGCGGTAAATGTATTTAGGATTACAATTACCGTAAATGGCACCACAAACACCAGGATTGTGTCCAAATAATTGAACATTGTCATCTGATCCTGGAAAGATAGAGAACAGAAGAAGAAAAAAATCGCATATAATAAACATACAAGGTCTATCACGTTTCGTTCTAGCATCGGTTCGTACTTTTGTAGTGTGCGTTTTTTTAACATACCGATAGACAAGACAAGTAGACTTATTGATGTAAATAGAGATTCTGTTTCAGTGCATTGGAACCTTCCCAAAAATTTGGAAAAGCTCATTCCTAGTGCCTATCTTTAAATCTGTCCGAAAATATGACGTACGTAATTATCGTGGTATAGCCATTATTTCTTGCATTCCTAAACTTTCGAATCATATTTAACTAACCGCCAACAAATAATTAAATTCAACGGAAAGAAATCGAGTCGAATTCAAGTCACTCAAGGCTCTCATTTGGGACCTCTTCTTTTTATTCTATACGTAAACAATATTTCTTTCATTCTCATAAAAAAATAAAATTTCTTATTTATGCCGACGACATGAAGCTCTTTTTGGAAATAAGAAATGAAGAATATATTCCGGAATGAAATACACATATTCTACATATGGTGCAAAAAAGTCTACTAGAATTTAATGTAAAAAAATGCAACTTAATATCATTTAGCAGGAAAAGAACAACTTCAAACATTTCAATTGCACTAGGAAAACAAAATGAAGAAAAAGGTGAAAGAGTTAGGAATTTAGGAATTATCTTAAACTCTAAACTAACTTTCATAGACCATTACAACACAATTATTCACAGGGCAAATAACATGCTAGACTTTATCAAAGTGCTTTTGCTATAACTTTCAGGACCCATACACAATTAAAACACTATATATTGCCTATGTGAGGTCAATACTGGAATATTGCAGCATTGTATGGTCTCCTTTTTCAATCACGCACGAAGAAAGATTAGAATCCGTACAAAAAACAATTTCTATTATATGCTCTTCGTAAATTAGGTTGGACATCATTTCCTCTTCTATCATATGAAGCACGCTGCATGCTTATAAACATACAAACATTAAAAGAGCGTCGTGAATATGCAATGGTTTCATTTGTAAACGATATCGTTTCGCAGCGCGTTAACTTAGCAGAACTTTTATCAAAATTTGCATGCACCTACTCGGCAACTCCGAAATCGAAATTTATTTGCCATAAAACATCATCGCACAAATTATACAAAATATGGGCCATAGAGGTAGCTCTAAGACTAGAAGGTCCCGAAATAACGTGCTCAACTTTTTGGCTCAGCTCTGGTACTCTCTTCGGTCCCTAGCTAATCGATTCACCCCTCGAAATATAGGAAAAACTAATAATCCCTCATTTTATCTGTCAAACTTTCATGCGAATCAAAACAAACATTGCGTAGTATTAGAATTTCAACTAGAATGTGGTACGTTAATCGCTTGCTTGGGACCAATAGGCTAGTCAAGTAGTGAGCCAATTTAAAATCGTTAGTTTCGTATTGATTGTTGATTAAACCGCATGATGGCCTATTACAATCAATACTGCGAAACCATTGACTTTACAATGTCGCGGCATAAACTAAAACAATATTTTTACTCCATAAGGCATTATAACTCATAACAGTTCAGCTTCGAACCTGTTCGGATACGGTTGTGTATAAGTTTGTTTCTGTTTTGTGCGTGCGTTCGCTGACTTTGCCAGATTAGCGCTGGCACTCTGCCTCCCGGACGGTTATACGTGTGTGATTGGTGGTTTTCTCGCTTTCCGAGAAGTTTTGGAATCGAAAAAGAAAACGTGTTGCATCATGTTTGCGTCGCTATCTGCGTTGTTTGTTTTTTTCTTCGCTTGTGCTCCCGGTACAGAAATTTGTGGCGTCGCGTGTGATAGTTTTTGATTTCAGTTTGTTTACGCGTTGTATGATTTTGTGAGCGGTCGCTTCGTGTTCGCGTCATGGAGCAATCGACTACATTCGACCAGAGGATTGATCCCCGTAGGGCGGGTCTATGATCGGAGCTACTACACCAAGCAGCTGCTTGCAAGGGATTCAGTTGGACTGATTTGGTGAGATTGTTCCTTTTTTCTACTTTTGTCTATTTAAACTTAATTTCTATGAATGCGTATCGTTTGGAATCATTTGATTCGGATGAGACTCTTAACTTTTATTTGTTTACATTGTGTTTCAATCGGTATTCTTAAGAACTTCACAAAATAAGGTTTCAATATTTAAATTGAGCAGCTCGACTAGCCTGGTGGCTGCCGCTTTTGCTTACTGAGTAGAGGACCGTGGGGATCCACATTGTAAAGATTCCCTATTTTCAGCTTTTACAGGCTGGAGTTGTTGTTTGAACCATTTAGTTTATCAATTTAATTTATCTGTATAACAATTATTCACAAGCATTCTTCCAGGTCAATTCAAGAATAGTTTGATGATGATAAATCTTCCTAATATTCACATTACAGTTATGACCCGATCCTGTCAATCTATCCACGCATCAGACTGTTATTTTTCAATAATTCCACATAATTGTAATTTCATACCTTCCTCCTTCAAGATGAATGTTTAAGGTACACATACTTTGCTAGCTGACAAAATGGGGTCATTGCTGTATAATTATTCTCTTTTTGCAGCCTTCATTCAGACTGGATCTATTGATTTAAATTATTTGAGTTTCTTCCAGCTCTTTGATGACGGAACATCACTAGATTTATACTGTAATGATTCACTCTTACAGCTTTCACCCTGGTTTTGTCTGTTGATTTGATTTGTTTGAATTGGTTTTCAGCTAGCTTTGGTGTTGGCAGTCGCGGGCGATCAATTTTGCTCATGCTCATGTTCTAAGTTTATTTTCAGCATTTCGATGATGGAACGTCTGCAGATTTATATTATAATGGGGCTTATTACGGGTGTCGCATCACGGTGAAAAGTTGTCATTTGTCGTCACGGTGAAGTGATTCCCATTTGATTTGTACGGTAATCACGGCTCTTATTCTGAGTATCACTTGCTTATCACCGTGTGTGACACCCGAAATAAGGCCCAATAATACACCATTTGGTTTTGGCTTCGGGCAAATCCAAGTATAATGCATGATAACACTGATTCATTTAAAACCATGGTCGCATCACTTATCAAGGTGAATCCTGATCCAACGAACCCAACTTACTAACAAAATCTCCTTTTCTGTGTCTTTTGTTGGGGTGCAGAGGTAAACACGGCCCACAAACAACAAATGTCACTCTAATATTCCTTCCCTACTCCCACCTGATTGCAAGGACGTGGACGGCGCCGTTATTGATCTACAACATATGGAGTCACTGAAACTTGTACAATGAGAATGGACGGTCATTCCCAGCCCCATTCAGTTGATTCATTGTACAATTTCACTGATTCTGATCAATCACGGAGTAGCAACCATTGATATGTACAGTCAATCTAAGCTAAGCTAGCTATTGGTTATCGTATATGTATAGTGTTTATAGTAGTACATATCTTTCATTATTGACTTTACATCATTTAATATTATTGTAAATTACATTTTATAATACTTAATTCTTAATGTTAGCTATTATGAGCGGCTCCAGGGAAGCATAGTGCCAGCTTGAAAAGAAATCTGAATCGTTCATTAGCTGTTTCGTAAAAATCTTGTGTTTATTGTATCTTGTTACATGGCATTATAACGCATTTTCAATATTACATTACATTTAAATAAGTATTAACCCGGTTACACACATTTCAGGTCATCCAGGTCTTAAATAAGATGGGATCCGTTCCTTTTATCAACAGCTGTGATATTGCATCATATGCTGAAAATATATGAATTATCGCGTATTTCTGTTGTTCATTACATACCAGGTGAGGGCTTAATCATGTTTTGCCGTCTAGTGTTTTGGTTTTGAGATGCTCGATAACCTTAGAGGGATCGGTTTTGCTTAATGAGCAGAATATCATGGGTTTAATCAAAAGCTCTCCCACAACATAACACAACACAAACATATCAAGTATCATTCTAGCTAAAAATATTTATTTGCATAATATAACCTGGAAATTTCAGGGTTACATCTTCCTTATTTGGAGCTGAGGAGACATAGAGCTGCATCATATTGTATGTAAAATAATTATTATTTTCATTGCGGAACACCAGTTTTTTGTATCCATATAAATGTATTTTCATTATTACGTATTTTGATGTTCTGATATATTTCATTTCTCCATTACATATATTTACTATATATATGAATAAATACTGGATTGGGAGGGAGCATCAGGGTATCATTTGACCTGGAACTGGACGATTGGAGTGGTATGACAACCGGAGTCTAGGAGGGAATAAACACTATCATTTTCTTTATCCTACCGATTCGATTGTGATGGTGTGAATTCTACTCCAACAGTTTCATGGAGATTGACGCGCCCTTCTTAACAAACCATCCTGTAGGAAGCTTAATAAGTATTGCGAATTGCGTTATTCGATTTGTTGGATCGTATCGTTGGAAGGAGATTCTTAAATTCCCGTGGATTTCGCGTAAGTGCCTCTGCTTACGGGTCCACCCCACCGTTTTTGGCCCTTCATACAGCGATATTGTGAATTCAGATCGGTAGCTCAAATTGATCTTGCTATTAAGTGGAGCTGCATACAAGACAAGATCTTCGAAGGGATGGTGGCTACCTTACATACATACATACATAAGGCATTATAACTCATAAAAAAATAGGAAAGCTGACACTGTTTAATTTTTATAAAGACAAAATTATATTTTTAACCTCTTTTTTAAAGTTGACGGAATAAATAAATAAATTTAAGAAAAAAAAAACTGTATTCGAATATGTACTACTCTACGACGGTTGACGAAATAAATAAATACATAAAATTATTAGCCTGATGAACCTTTTTGATGATACAGTAATCATCATGTGAAAGTATGCATGTATCTCCGAGGCAGGGGCGTAGTGAGGGGTTGCCAAAAGTGGCCCTCGCCAGGGGCGCCCACATCAACGATTGACTTTCAGAAATTTACACTGCTGTACTTGTACTGCTCATAGTTAACATCTTTTCAGAGATTACGCAG